GGCGATGAAATGAAAAGTGAACATACATGAGAATCGAATCCTTCATGAATATCCTCACTCGTGATCTTCTTCTTCGTCTCTTCTTCCAGTCCTACCAACTCTTTCTTCAGATCTTCCTGGTGCTCGCCCATCTTGGTGATATGAGTCTTTAGTCCGTTCACAAGAGCATCTCCCAGCTTTGGATCGTCTTTGTCCACACCTTCGTTCTTCACATCCTCCCAGACCCTCATCATCAGAGCAAGGAGCATCTCATCGTAGGTCTTCTGTCCCGCAGCGTTTGTCGGTGGCATGTCTGGCGAGGGGGATGTTCTGAAGCGTTCCACCAAAGAAGAGAAGTGTGCAGGGCCTTGTGAAGCAACTTCCTCCGCGATGGTGCGTAGTCGAGGCTCGAGGACGTTGTTGCAGGCTATGTCGGCATTGAGCTGAGCCACTCGCATTCTTCTCGTCTCACGCTTCTCGTGAATGTCTCGCTGCTTCCATCTATACACGAAAGAGTATGTTGGATACAAGTATGAAGCTTTTGGATGTGACGCACCGCACAAGAGATTTGTGGTCGACATTGGGATGTCCTTCAATATCGGAATCATCAGAAATCTGGGTGGTTTTTAGTGTGAATGGTCAGAGGAACGGAAGGGACTACCAACTTCAAGTGCATCCCACTTGGAATAGTTCAGCGGCATCTTGAGATGTCTGAAAAGTACAGTTTAGATGGCACTATGTAAACCTCACCGCGATGAGGATTGACTTGCAATTAGGAATCTAGGATAACGCGAAGATTCTCGAAACGGTCCGGCAACCGCGACCAAACGATCAGATCGAACCGAACCGACTGACCATAACTCCGTTTGAATCGACTCGATTCGATAAAAGCGTGCGAGACTTTACTGGCGCCCTCTGTACGGATCTGTACGTCTCCGGTCTGTTTACATCTTTTCATCACTTTGTTGTGAGTAGTAACTAGTAATTGCTTGTTCTCGTTTCGGTGAATCTCTACGTCCTGCAGGTCTGAGACTCCGAAGAATCCGAACTAGTTTACGATGGCATGCTATAAAAGCCCCGTTGCTCTCGACCTCGAAACATGACTCCCGGTCGGAATGTTTCATTTAATGATGGTGCTAGTGATACCCGCCCGGCGAACTAAAGCTCGTTCCAACATCCGGTAGTTAACTACAAAGACAACGCCCAAGTACAGGCAGACAAGGATGAGACAAGAAATTTGAGAAGAAATGGCACATCCTTGTCTGCTTACCCTCGAAGATTATAGATGAAGTGTTCTGCAGACTAGAGCGGTCCACCAGCTCACTACCGCATAGCGTCGATCGCGATCTACCAGGGGGTTCAGATTTGGCTCGGACATGGAAATCCGAGGCATGGTGATACACATGGCTAAATAGTTCCCGTTTCGCCTCCCGCACCTACCATCATCGTCCAGCCGTCAGGAGTCTTTAAGCGTGTCTCTCATCTCGTTTTCGTCGTCCTTGCACCACTTCCTCTGCGGTCACAATATTCGACAACGGCATTTGATATGAAGGGGGCATGCAAATAGGGGTTGTACATTAAATCGAATTGTAAGTATGGCCAGCGTTCGCGTACGAGAACTCAGTAGTAGCTCACGCAAACCTCACGTCTATAGATTGAAATTTGGCTGGCATTCAGCGCATATACCCAGCGTTTGTTTGTGTCGCAATGCTATCACCATCTCCTCATGGCGTCTCTGGGCCGTATGCAGATCTTATCCACTTCCGTCGGACCCCTCAGCGAAGAGCAACATCAGACGCACCCTCGAGCCCTCTCGCGCAAGGTCTAGCCATTCCTACAGAACCCGTTCCTCGCCTGAACATACAAACAGATACTGTCTACTCAGACTCGGACTCACAGTCTACTCTAGGTACTCCGAGGACCCCAACTCTCCCATTTAGCCACCACAAGGCTTCTGAAGCCGTTGCGAGAAGCATAAAGAAGCGTCCAGGCTTTTCGTCACGCCGCTCAGGTGGGACAACCCCTTCCGCGCGATCGTCATCTGCTGGATGTGTCATTCGATCCAACTCTGGCTCCCGTTTCCTAGCTCCGTCAGATCATCGAGTGCAGCGTAGGGACGAAATGCCCAAGGGCCCCAAGATCTCTCGCAGCGACTCCGCTGTGCCAACGTCGTCTTCAATTGATTCTACCCATATCAAAGAGGTGAACATGTCCCTTCCTCTCCTATGCTATAAGTGCCAAACAATTTGCTATTCTAGTATCCTTCGAGTGTCTTTTCTTCTGTGAAACCGAGAAAGAATTCCACCACCAGCAGGAGCGTCGCGGGTGCTCCCCTGACCGACGGCGAAGACGACCCCACTAGCCGCCCTCCAAGTCCCGCTGGATCACTACTCACCCTCGTCGCCGAGCAAGACGAGCTTGCCGAGCTCAAGGCGCTGAATGCCAAATGGCGCGCACGAGAGGCGTGCTTCGTTGAGCGTAACGGCAGCAAGCTTCATCGGTATCCGGTGCGGGAGGTGCCCTATCCGAGGAGCTACAACAAGGATGTGTTGGACCTGTAAGCTTTCTCCCGCGGTTGACGGCCACTTGCTCTTGACTTGACAACCGATTAGCGATGTCTGGAGTGTGATTTGGTCTGAACAATGCTCTGGGGGCTTAACGTGGCATCAGTTTGATACTCCCCCGCTGAAAGTGTTCGTCTTGCCAATCTTCTCAGAATTTGATTTTTAATTTGATTGTCCGTGTTTAGATTGGATCTGGGTTGTGGTATGTTGTCGCAAGGGGTGGTTCCATTTACCTAGGGTTACTGAGCCATGCCTAGGCACTGGGTCGTGGGTGTTAGAAGCAGCTTCGCAGTGGAAGGTGAGTGGTAATTTATAACAGCGGTTTCAAGCTCTGACGGCTGTCTTCGCTTACTCAAGGATACACATTTCGTTGGTGCGTTAGTAGTGACATGATCCCCTCGAGCTGTTGAGAATAATTTCAACAGGCCTCGATATTGTTCCCATTCAACCGGATCTCGATTTGCTTCATCCCGAATTGGCTTCTCGCGTGACATGGGTCCGAGCGAACTTGTGCGCTGTTTCGCTGTCGTCAGGTTCTTCTGCCTCTAATGTCAGTTTGGATGCGCTTCAGCTTAGACGCTCAGCTACCGTTCGAAGATGGCGAGTTCGACTTTGTGTAGGTCGTTCTCCAATGCTACCACAGACCAGGATTTGACAACGACAACAGGAATAGTAGGAGAATAGGCAGAGGTATTCCGGAAGACAGAGTGAGCCCGTTGTCGCTTTCATGCGTCTCGGATGTGCTAATATCGCGACAATATTAGTGGGATCCAATGCTCGAGGTAGTCGAATACTATTTTTATTTGATGACCTTCAGGATAGTTGATAGATGTTTCACAGGAAATTTCGCGCATCTTGAAGCCTGGTGGAGCCTTCCAGGTACACTCAAACGTCACCCCTTATGTGTAGTCATGACATTGTGTTCTTTAGTGTGCTGAAGAGGATTTATACTTTCCCGGCTCCCTCGATCATCGCTCCCTATCCCAAGAGCCCATCGTCGCGAGCCCGTCTCCGAAAGCAGCTTCTCGACCCCCGTCGCCAAGTACCCGACCTCGCGCCCCCACACCTCTCTCTATACCTTCAGATCCATCCAACGCGTCACTTCCAAATAGCAGTGGTAGCGAAGGCTCTGGCTCAAGCTCAATGGCCCCAGTCAACCCACATGATCACTCCCTTCTTGAATTCATCTATAACGAGATGCACTCCGCTCGGTTCATCAACCTTGCTCCGATATCGGTGGTTGGCAGCGCATTCCAAGTGCACTTCACAGGTAAGGGAGTTCGAAATTAATTTATGATTATATGGGTTGAACCTCTCTGCGCAGGGATGAAGTCTCATACACCTATAATTGTCATGTTTCCTCCCTCGCCAGATACATACCGGTCAGTCATGGGTGAACTGAACATGGGCGACAGGACATCAGGAGCTCGGTTGCAACGTCTCTACCAGTCATCCCGTAGCGCTGAAGCTTCCGACATCGAAGCTGCCGCGCCGGATTCAGAAGTATCCTGGCAACGCGTGATTAGGCTTGATCTCGCCCGTACAGAACTCAGTGCGAGTCCGTTCCTTTCCCCCACCCAACTCGTGCAGAGGACTGCACATATACGCACGGACCAAGCCCGAGTCATAGCTCAAGGCCCTCGCTCTACCGCCGCTCCCCACCGATTTCCGATGCCTGTGAGCAAACAGTCGGGATCATACAATGATGCCTCCTGGATGGAATCTTCTCTCAGCCCGGAGGAGAAACGATCCTCCCAATTGATGCGGTTCGACATACGCACGCTTAATCTGCACCTGTCGCTCCGGACGAAGGAGATCCTCGCATGTGCCGAGGCGATGTGGGACTACATTGTGGATTTCCAGCGGGACTGCTCCCCGCAGCTGGCAGATGGGCTGCCGGTGAGGGGACGGTTCTCGCGACACTATTCGGACGCAGTTGCCGCGCAGCTGAGGCCACTGACCCCGGCCACGCTGAGGACGATGGTGATGAACCTGACGCGGCCCGATTTCGACGCGTTGCTGCTGCGATACAAGTTGTGAGCACCGTGCCATCCGCCCGCGGAGACGATCTGACACCACGCCCCCAGCGATATGCAGGACTACACCCGCCTCGACTGCGTGCTGCGGGACCGGCTCGGGTGGGGCCCCCT